ACATCCAGACACATTCATCGCCATCTCCGGGGATTTCAACCACGTGACACTGGACTCCACACTGTCAGACTTTCACCAGTTTGTAAGCTGCCCCACCAGGAAGAACAGGACACTAGGAGGTCGAGGTGAGGGAAGCTTACATTGCCACTGCTTTGCCCCCACTGGGAAAGTCTGATCATAACCTGGTCCTGCTCACGCCACAGTACAAACCATGGATCCAGAGACAGTCCAAGACCAAATGCTCCTAAAGGAAATTGTCTCCTGAGGCAGCGGAGGCTCTGAGAGACTGCTTTGAATGTACTGACTGGAGCATCCTGCAGGAAGCACATGGCGAGGACATCGAGGGGATCACACACTGCACTACTGACTACCTGAACTTCTGCAGAACTGTACGCTGCTTCCCTAACAACAAGCCCTCGATCACCAGTAATGTCAAGGACATCCTGAACAGGAAGAAGAGGGCATTCAAGGATGGTGACAGGGATGAGCTGAAACGCATACAGGGGGAACTCAAGGTCCACCTGAGAGAGGCGAAGGAGGACTACAGAAGGAAGGTAGAACAGAAGCTGCAGCACAACAACATGCAGGAGGTCTGGGATGGCATGAAAACCATCACAGGCAGCAAGAAGAAGTGCAGTATTGCAGGAGAGGGGGATGCTGGGAGAGCAAACCAGCTAAACCTGTTTTTTAACAGGTTTGATACTCCAGCTCCCACAACCAGCGACGGCCCACTTCACACCCCCATGTCCATCACCTCCCCCAATGCCACCCCCATGTCCATCACCTCCCCCAATGCCACCACCATGTCCATCACCACCTCAGACTGCAGACCACAAGCTGGACTGGACAGAAAATATGGACACTCTCCACAGGAAAGGTCAGAGCCGTCTGTACTTCCTGAGAAGGCTGGGGTCCTTCAACATCTGCAAAAAACTGCTACAAATGTTTTACCAGTCTGTGGTGGCCAGCGTCCTCTTTTATGCTGTAGTTTGCTGGGGTGGAAGCAGCAAGAAGAGAGCTGCCGGTCGACTGCACAGACTGGTGAGGAGAGCTGGCTCAGTGGTGGGCTCAGAGCTGGACTCTCTGGTGACAGTGGCAGAAAGAAGGACCCTGGACAAACTGCTGTCCATACTGGACAACGCCCACCACCCTCTGAACAACACCTTCATCGGGCAGAGGAGTGTGTTCAGTGGCAAGACTGCTGTCCAAGCCCAGCTCCACCAACAGACTTAAAAACTCCCCCTGGCCATCAGACAGTACAACAGCTCCTAACCATGGCAGGGAGGACAATAGACAAAATCTGTACTCTTTACTTCCATCTGCACTTCATTTGCACTGTTTACTGTTTTACTGTGGCTAAGTTATTTTAAATTTTATTTTATTTTAATATAGGTTTAATGTATGTATGTTTCATATGCTACTGGATACTTGAATTTCCCTCGGGATAAATAAAGTATATATCTATCTATCTCTCTTGCCCATTGCCCTGAATGTTTAGGTTGCAAAATTCACATAAAAAATATATAATTAATTAATAATGTGATAATTAAGTAACTTATACAAAGTTTCTGTGTGTCTGATTTAGCCCTCTCTCTCTTTGGCACACACTGTTTGGAGCAGGTTTTTAGTCTTTGTCTACTGCTACTGTGGAATGAAGTTAGTTCAATATAAACTAGGCCTATACCATGAGTGAGTGTGTGTTTGTGTGAGTGTGTGAAAATATATACACATACATACATACATACATACATACATACATACATATATTAGGGCTGTCCCCGAGGATTTACATAGTCGAATCAGAATCGTCAGGTTTTGCCTATAGTCGACTGATAGTCGAATCATGTTTTTGTTTTTCAAAACGATAAAATATTCTTTGTGTGGTTCATCAACGGTGATAAATTAATCCGAAAGTCCCGCAAGGTGCGGACAACTCGGCAAAACACCGTGAAGCTCTTCAGCAAGCGTTCCTCCACTGCCACTGCACACATACACGCTACGCCTACACATGCGCAATGACGACCCAGGGTTAGGGTTACAATTTTGGATTTATTCACGCACTTCAGAAACATTGAAATGTATATTGTAATAGGCTGTATATTAACTTATTGGGAGAAAACTGGCAGTTCTATGTAAAATCAGACGTTGAGCACCCCCAAATCACCAAAATGGCATGATCGCTGCAATGCTTCGACTGTGAGATTGACAGGTGTTTCTGCTTTTATTGTACCTCTGTATGAAAGAGGTTGTGTTGGTTTTGGATTCTGCACGTTCATGAGTTTAAGCGAGCATGCGTATAAGCACACATCTGGTTGCAATCTTAGAACCGCACCGCTAGTAGCTGCTGAAAACTACATAATGCCCCTTTAACTTAAAACAAGACAAGGAGAGAAATAAATGTCCTTCAGTGATTGAGTGATTAGAGAAAAGTAAAATCAAACTTTTAAGAAATTCAAAAAGTGAGTAAACAAAAAAATCCATCCATCAACTTCAATATTGAGGGCTAAATTAATCAAAGTATTGATCAAATTGCGTGCTGAACTGAAATACTGTATAGAGTATATGGCTGTGTCAGATGAAATGATAAGAATTATATAAACAGAGGCTTACCACATGTACAGCTTATTGTATTGTAACCATGTTTGCAGATGTTTTCTGCTGTATTTTTACAAGGTTGCTAATTTGTCATTATACAGCACAAGTTTGTAAAACGAAACAAAAGTTTCTAGTCCCTTCATGCTGCACACACAGAATTTAACAGATTCATATATTAATATTTGAATACACATTGAATTTGTATTAAAATATTTTCTCATGTAATATCATCCCTGCTGAGTCAGCACACATGTATAATTCAGATTTAGTCTTCCCTCCTCTTTTGTCTTTGCCTTTGTTTGGGGAAGTAACCTCTTTAAATGTACATGTGGCACATTTTCTCACCTCACTGAGAAATGATTTCATTTTAATTCAGTTAGAAACTCCTGGACTTTAATAGCGCCTGTGTTTCAGCAGGTTTTTTGCTCATGTTCAAAACTTTCTGTACAGTCAGAATCTCCCACATATCTGTGTTCTCTGACAGGTCCAGAAAAAAGTCAGAATGTTATGAGAATAACGTAATCAATTATTCATAATATCTTTTTAAAGTCTACCTGCCCTATACTCTGCTATGCAATATCCTGTGTTATTGCTCTGCTGATTTGGTAGTACACACCTTAAGACCGTCTGCAGACACAGAACTGTTTAGGACTGTACTGGATGAGAGGAGGAGGTGGATAAATGAAAAACACTTCTGATCAGGCAGAAATCTCACCGCAAATCCACACAAATGTTCACTTCAGCACCTCAGATAAAGTGCAGCTCAAAAGTCCCAAACAGAGCAAGTCTGTGCCTCGGATTTTAGATGGTTATTTTGCAAAACTCTTTCAGTCAGTTACTCACAGCCCGAGACGGTGTCGCATCAGCTAGGTGGAGTTACTGGGTCAATATTATCAGTTTGTTTTGTTTTTCTCTGTGTGAGTAAATTGATGTGTAGTGTGAGAGCGTGTGAAAAGTGTCAATTGCGTGAGTCCCACGCAATTGCCTGAGAGTTGGCAGCTCTGGAGCTAACATATGGTGTTAACATTACTTAAAGTTTAAGCAAGCTAAAGCTTTTATTTGCTATTCTGCCTAACTGCTCCTCATCTTTGCCTGTCAGACATATATGGTGCTTCTTAACACTTTTTTTGGCCAGAAATTTGGCCATTGACGCCCTATGATTTTATTTTTCTCTGTGTAATTTGGCTTTGGCTTTCTGAGCCCCTGACAGGCTGCAGTGTTCGCTGGAACATTAGATGGCTTTACAGTAGCGGGTCCTGCACATCTTCAGTGTTTCGACTGTACCATTTTAACAATAACATCGGGGGGTGGGTTGTCATATGACAAGTATGAAATATGTTTTAATGATAACAATACATGTAGTTATCATGTAAATACATATAAATTGTTTTGTTAGTAATATAATACAGTAAATAAAGTGTTGTATTTGATCCCATTTAAGGGACCTTTGCATGGGCACCCCCTGAGCCTTGGGCTGGGGTCATCTGTACCCTTTGACCCACCCTGTAGGCGGGCCTCGGTCCTGCTAATGTTTCACAATTAAATACCTTGTTAGGAAGGTATTCTGTCCAATGAAACGCTAGAGGGCTTTTAATTTGAAACAGACACAAGCAGTGTTGAGCTTACACTCACTTTATTAGGTACACCTTGCTAGTACCGGGTTGGACCCCCCCTTTGCCTTCAATACTGCCTTAATTCATCGTGGCATACTTTCAGCAAGATGTTAAAAATATTCATCTGAGACACTGGTCCATCTTGACATGATGGCATCACACAGTTGTTGCAGATTTGTCGGCTGCACATCCATGATGCGAATCTCCCGTTTCACCACATCCCATCCCAAAGGTGCTCTATTGGATTGAGATCTGGTGACTGTGGAGGCTAATGGAGTACAGTGAACTCATTGTCATGTTCTATGAGGGGTGGAAATAACAAATATTTATTGACAAAAAAGGAGGTGATGAAAATGAATGTGAATGGAAAAATAAAGGGGTTAAAATGGTCGTGAAATGAAAAATAGAGTGATAAATATTAAAGGGATGTGATTAATTTTAAGTTAATTTGATTAAAGCAGTAGTGACAGAATAAAAACATAACAATTTTTCAGTCATCATTCACAACGCAAAATTGACATTTATCATTTAAAGCGGGTAGCCTCAAGAGTTAAAGTAACAAACAGTAAATGGAGGGGATGAAAATGCATGTGAAATACAGAGTGGTTAAATTTAAGGTGAATTGAAATCTAAAGTACTAAATTGTCAACTGATGTGATAAACTTCATTTACCATCATTCACAACACCCTGCTATCATTCATTGTTCACCGCATGTATTTTTTGTTACTTCCTGCTGAAACTGTCAATCACAAACTACGCCCCCTGACGAACTGATCAAGGTTTTGGCTCTCAACTCGTCATCCTCTGAGTACGTCGCTGGAGCCAGAGCTAGCCCAGCTGACCGGAGGAATATTATGTACTCTGCTGTTAATTGTACAACAGACTGCCCAAGAAGCCACTGCTCCAGGTATTTCGGTGAGTGAAATTGTAGTATTTCATTTATGTTAGCAATAATTCGCAGGTATCGTTGTTGGCATAAATGGCATGTTAGCTTACAGCTTTGAGCGTTCACAAGCTGTGCTTACGATGCTAACTGAACGGGAGGGTATGCTGACCAAGAGTCATGCACAGAAGTCATAACCTGTTAGAGAAGTTAATTTTGGGGTGACAATACTTTGGAGCAAAAGGCTCAAAAGAGGTCACGTGTGAAGTTGGAAAGTGATGGTCTACCTTTTTGTTTAGCTGACTTAATGTAGCGTCAACATTAAACTTTCCACATGGACAATGTAACTTTAACGTCAGATTAGTTACTGTGACGAGTACTGTATTCAGGGAGAGAAAAGACATGCCGATAGCATTACACAGTACGTGGCAGCAGCTGGACCGAGGGATGGAGGTGTTTATGGGGGGGGCTGTGCTCGGTGCACTAGTTGCACAACACCAGCGGTGGACTGTGAGACGGTGAGAGTTCTGCCTGTCCGCCGAGCATCGTCTGCACCTCCAAGTACTGTTTAAAAACGATATAATGTCATCAGTGGTAATAACTGATTAGAAGTAATGTGTAAATCCATCAGTATTTCACACAGCGAAGTGTCTGAAAGTGCCTGATTTTTCCCTGTTCTGTTAAGTACTGTGGACTGTTGCTGCATTCCATTTACCTCGGAGGTCGGAGCTGGGAATGACGTCACACCCGAGTTGACGGCGTTCCAGTTAACAAGTCGGAAAACCTTGCTCGGCCAGCTGTTGTTTACAACTAGCCAGTTAGCTATTGATACGACGGTTGATTAAAAAAACGCATTGTGCGGTATTTACTCACACTAAACACTGTAGCAACACATCCACAGACAGCTGTTGGACAGCACTTTGTGTACGAACATTTCTGAGTCACAAGTACACAGAAGTGCAAATAAATAATATAAACTACAGCTTTCACTAACTGTTGATACCCCGACAGCCATCTTGGATCACAAAGTCGGGGTAGTGTGGTTCTCCCAACTTCCCGAGTCAGAAATACGACTTCAGGGGGCAAACGCACCACAAATGTGCTGATGTAATTTGGTATATCAGACTTGTATGGGCTCTGAGAAAATTACTGTGTTTCATTCGTCCCACGTTTCAATTGTCCCGGCTCTCCCCTATGCAGTTCACTATTTGATGCAAGATTAAAAGCCACCATAAAAATGTCCTTAAGGCAATCTTTTACAGTCTCAATGTATTTTTATATTAAAATTAACTACCTATAGATGTCATTTAACAGCCATAATTAAATCTAAATGAACGTATCAAAATGGATTAATGGATTCAATTTTAATGTTGTCTGTAAATTACTGCAGGCTGAGGTAATCTAATCACTGTTTCAGTGATTATAATTACAACAATTAGGTAAACGGAAGTTAGAACAGATAACTGTCCAGCATCCAGTACAAACAGAAGGTTGTTTTTATTTTATTTCAAAATTATCATTATGTGAGAAAATAATTTGTTTGAATTTCTGTCATTAATAAACATTTCATTTTCTTTTTTGTTATGATAAAAAGTGCAAGAGAGACAGAGAAATCCCCACGGCCTCCCTGAATGATGCTAACTCATTAACACCACGCTGCTGCCCTTCTTCACTGGGACAGGGAGGCTACAGTTATGGGGAGTCTGGGGTGCTGCTGACTCATCTGTTAGTCTGCTTAAAGGGGCAGGGACAATGCTTTAATATGATTGTCTTGCTAAATGTTTCCTTGCACTGATTAGATGTTGATGAAATGTAGGCTAACACTAGTCTGCAGCTAGCTGTCTTATTTCACTATGGACATTAAGCCAACAGGTTAACGCCACTCACAGAAAAAAGGCTACCCAGCTTTCTTGGGGAAAAACTGGGTCACAGAGTGACATCCATTCCTTTGTCTTTTCTCTCTTTCCTTTTTTGAAAACCAGATTTTGGTTTACTATGCATCATTGTGATCACTGGATTTCTGGCGCATCTAACTGCAACTAAACATTGTCACTGATACAGCGTGCTAAGGCAGGACCAAACCATTTCATGCAGATACAGGGGGGTGGTCGGTCAATATGGATGTTTACTTTTTGGTCAATGGGAATATTTAACTTCTATTGCCAAAAACAAAGAGATCATTAATTGTATCATTATATTTAAAATACTCAATGATGATGGTTTATATAAATATATTTTAATATTAGTTTTTACCTATTTTTTGGGGCCCTGTCAGTCCTTGGAATTGTCCTAACTTTTCCCCCCTATATGGCGCCCCTGCATATAATGGTAATGTTAGCTATTTAGCTTGCAAAATGTCAGCTATAACGGTTACTGCCTAACAGCTTACATTAAATATTGCTGTTCCACACACCGCTATTTAGATTTTGGATTTGAATACTGCTATCGACAGCGCTGTAAGATATTATTGTCCTGAAAATGACTATTGAGACTGAAAGCACCTTTATATTTGTTACAAGATGTTTTGCTACACACAACTTAAACTGTAAGTACTAGTTTTTGATACTTGACATTTGACAGCTGATGTTACATTGTCTGTCTTCAAAGGACAACAAAATAGTTATTTATATTTTGAGGTGTTCTGCCCTTTTCTCCCACAGGTGTGACATGATAGTACTGTCAACATTAGAAACTGAGCCATGTTTTATAGTTAACTTATTAACATATTTTTCATAACCTGAAGCATTTATTACACTGATTTACTTTCCTCCCATGTCACAGTGTGGATCATTTGTCCCACCTGATGATGGGGAGAGCTGCAGAGACCTGGGAAGCATCCTCGGTGTGCTGGAAGTCTGTAGGCTTGACTGGACTGATGTGGAAAGGCCTTCTCTCCTTTTGTTATATATAACTAGCCTTTACACCCATTACTAGAGCCTGAGAAGTTTTTAAAGAGTGCCTTGTTTGCTGCTCTGATATAAGTCTAGTTTAAACACAAAAGAATGTGCACATATCTAAACTAACCTGTGGGTAATATCTGAAAGAAAGAATGACCTGCACAGAGTAATTATTAATCCTAAGTGGTATCATTAATTATGATGTTGCAAACTCAGCTCTCAGAGCTGATCGAATGCATAAAATTAATCAAATCACTTGAATATTTATCACTCTATTTTTAATTTCACGACCATTTGAACCCCTTTATTTTTCCATTCATATGCATTTTTATCATTTAATATTTATTACTTTCCCCCCTCATAATGTTCAAGAAATGAGTATGAGATGATTTGAGTTTCGTGACATGGTGCATTATCCTGCTGGAAGTAGCCATCAGAAGATGTGTACACTGTGGTCATAAAGGGATTAAAATAAAAATAATTAAAATATGAGCAAATATAATCTCTATCAAACACAGGGAATTAGAAACAAAGGCATATATATGGCTCCTTCAAATTAACCTCTGGCTCTGCTGCACAGAGATTTATTTTAAATAGCTTTTTCTAAAACGGTTGTGTAGGCAGACCTAATGTAACCAAAAAGTGGTTCAGATGTCATTGGATGTTGTTTACAGCTTGTTCTGCTGCCTCCATGTGGCAAAAAAATCTGGTCATGTATTCTATTATACATTATAGAATATATCTGTGAATGATTATTAATTGATTAGTAATGTTTGCCTATGCCGACTGCTGCTTCTCTGTTCCCTGGAATTTTTATGAATGGCTCAGTCGCTAGTGTGTGTGTGTGTGTGTGTGTGTGTGTGTGTGTGTATTTGGGTCTGCAGTGGCCTGTGATGCTGATGGAGGGGGAGGAAGAAGTAGATGAGGAGATGAGAGATGTGCAAGGACTAGAGAAGCAGCGTGATGGTCGGAGGGAAAAAACGGAAGGAGAAAAAACATAGATGGAGGAAACTAGACAAAAGGAAATAAATGATCCCATGGACAGATGAGCCTACTCTACTGCTTTCACTCTGACTCATCCCCCTCTCGCTTTCCATTCTCACATTGGTGCATTCTGACTTCATGCATCAATCGCCATGGACACACACGCACACTGTGGCTCCGCCTTCTCTGCAGTGTAGCGACAGCTAGCGAGGGCAGCAATGGAGGAGCCAGCAGTGCAGCAGGAAAAAATGGAGGGATCGTGGGAAGGAGGGAATAATGGAAGAAAGGCAGAGTGGAAAAATGAGTGCTCTTTCTCCTCCCTCCTTAAACACTCCTGTCTTCTCTGCTGGTCGTCTCCCAGGGACACCGATGTCGTGGAAACGGATGAGAGAGTCCTTGCCAAGGCAGCCGAGATCAGAGTAAGAAGACCGCAGCACCTATCGCTGGTGTGTGTGTTAGTGTGTGTATGTTGGGTTTTTATACACCTGTGTGAGTGTGTTTTGTGTTGGTCTCACATTTTTTTGAGTTTGTCAATATAAATAATGTGTGTTTGTGTGTATGTGTAGTGTTTCCAGTTTGCACTCACCATCACTGCATTCCCCATGATGCTCTCATGTGATGTCATGATGCTGTAAGGCCCGTCTCTGACTAGATCAAGCTGTAGACTCACATGCTCAGTGCAAGTCCTGAATGCCCCAGATACACTGCTTTGTTGCTATTTGGTTCATTGCATTTCACTTAAATTACAGAGTGATTAAACAGAGTGATAACAGTAATCATTTCTCTATAAACTGAAATAATCAGGACCTTATGCATTTTTTTTCTAGTTCTGAGACTCTGCCTTGTAGTTAGGTTCTGTGCCAAAACAAATCACTGGATTAGTCGAATTCTAAACCAGGGTTAGGGCTGGGCAATATGGCCAAAATGTTACTACAATAAAAAATGTAATATCATTCAAGATAGATAATTATCATGATAAATGTCAAATCATTGTATCTTTCAATTAAAAAGGCTGATTTTTGCTTCTGACTGAAAGTTGAAGAGTGGTTAATTGTGGTTTTAAACTATTCAGAACATGACAAACAGTAGAAACCTTAATAAATCTGGGGTAGAACATTCAAAACAATTATGATAAAAAAGGGATTGGCACTGATTATTCAGATATTCATTGTAGATAGAATCTGCTATTTATGTTCTTGCTCAGATAGAAGAAAACAAAGAAAATATGCAAATTATTAAGGAATCTAGAACCTGTGAGTTTTTAGCAGTTTTGCTGAAAAGAACTTTTAAAGGATTGATTAATTATCAAAATTGTTGCTGGCTGAATAATTTTCTGATGATCAACTGTTTGACCAATCATTTGAGCACCTATGTTGTTTAGTTTCTACTATTGATGCACACGATACAGTACTGATATCACTGGAGCAAGTGTGCCAATGTGTGTGTTCGTATTTGACTGAGTTATTAGTCTGAGAAGAAGGGACACAAGTAAAATGTGTCAATCAGGTTCACAGGGTTAATAAAATGACCACAAACGAACTGACATGCATGTCAGTTTGTTTGTGGTCATTCAACTAGTACCCAGTATGCCTGCTGGCATAGTTGGTTCATAATTACAACAATAAGGTACAAGTGATCAGTTATTCATCAATTGTTCATTCAGTTTAAATCATTCAGTCTCAATTCAGAGGAGGGAATCTTCCATGCATAAACCCGCATTATAATCAAAGTGAATATTTAATAATTAACTAGCGTGAACATAAGTGAGAGTAAATATGCATATAAAGAAGATAAACAACAATGATTAGTCAACAACAAGAATGCAATAAACGGAAGTTTGAACAGAATTGATAGGGTTCAATGTAAATGCTGTTTGGCTATTGTGAAAAGAATATGACTCTAAGGAAATAAAGGAAATGAGCGGATGCAGGTTTTGGTTCCTACAGTAATCACTAACTTTGAAATTAGGCTATAGACTTCAGAGCTACAGGACATCAACCCTGATCACAGAATGTCGAGTTTGTTTGCCTTACTGCTTTGTTGTTTCCTCAGCTGACTTTTTTAACTAACTACCAAATTCTGTTGGTCTTTGGAAGTAGTGGAATTTAATTAAAACACAAACAAAGGTATGTAAGGTAAACAATCTAATAACTTTAAACAACACAAAATGAAAATAAATTCACTAAAGTTTCACGAGACCTTGGGTGTATAATAAGGTTGCTGAGATGAATCAAAAGAGAACTAGTCTGGGGAAATCTCAGTTAAAGCTTTTAGAAGATTGTCGAATCAGATCTCCCGCTTGGGAGTAGACAAAGCAGAATGGAGAACTGGGAAGTTCTTGGAGGCAGGAATGTTTCAGGAGCCTTGTAAGAGAAGATGATGCTGTGAGCTGGAAGGGCGAGAGAAAGCGTGTCAAACAGTGGGAGTTCACCTTCTCGTTCCTCAAGATTTTAAACTTTATTCTGAAGTAATGTCTTAAAGAGTCTATTCGTGCATGTTTTAATCATATACCTTTACACAATATCATTGCTCTTCTTAAATGTCATAGTAGGGCTGGACAATTGAAAAGTAATCGAATCCGAAATTCAGAGCCTCTAAAGCTGATGATACACGGGGCAACTTTTTGAGCAATGTTGCTGGGCAATGTTGCTAGTGGCAAGTCCAACTATGTTTTGAATGGATAGCGGCGGTGCGGGGAGGGTGGCGGAGTGGTGGCGGAAGGGGATTACGGTCATTACCATTGACGACAACGTTGCCCTGCACGATTGCTCTAAAGGTTGCTCTGTGTATCATCAGCTTAACAGACGTAATTTTACCATGTCAGTTATTTCATTTTTTTATAAATATTTTCCCTACAGTGGGTGTTTCAAGTACTTTCCTTTGTTTTAAAACATACCATTGTGTGTGTGGTCACTTGACTCTGCCCTGTCCAGTCCTGCTGAGCTTTCAGACCTGAGTCTGAAGCTCAGGCAGAGGTGAGTTAGCGCTAACTGCCTTCACTTTCCAGCAGTTTGCGAAACAACAGACATCCATTTTATTAACGGACACATTGTTGAGCCTGAATAAAGCGTGTGCGTGGGGATGAAAAAAAGCCATCATCAATGGAGCTCCGATACTACGATTCACCATGGCAACAGGTAAATAAAGGCAGAGCCTCCATTTTAATCGGCTGGAGCTAGAAATATGAATGCGTGCCAACGCGGACCCTGATAGGCTCTATAACGCAGGAGTGGAAGAAGGATCAATGCATTAACATTATTAGGCTACTATAAAGCGTTGCTCATTCATCATTTACCGGACTGGACTTTCCTTAATGATTGATAAAGTGCTACAGCCCATTACATTCGATTTTAAATAGGAAGGCTATATTTATTAAGCTGTAACCCGACGGGACAAAATGCCGGTGGCAATCGGCTACCTGATTATGAAAATAGGTAGGCTATAGATCAAATATACGACACAGTTTACTCATGACTGTGTGTAAAGTCACAGTCACACACAGCTGGTTAGCCTATTAATTATTTTTTTGCAGTGGAAAATGTGTCTATAGGTTAAAGTTTTAGATGTCTATTCAACATTAATAAAATCTTGCTCATTTGGTATTTTATTAATGCTGTCAAAACGCATTCAGACTATAAGCAGCTAATAATGAAAAACTCACTTTTAAACCTTATTTAGGTCTGTTTGTTTCAGCAGCACCACAGTCATCCTCACTCAGAAATAGTCACATTATCTCCAGTTCTACGAATGTTCCAATCAGTGTGACTAGCCTACTATATGAAAGATTACTGTTCATTGATCAGTTTTATAGGTTACATATTAAACAGTGATTACTGCAGTAATGTAGCCCACAGTAAGTGTTTCAGTGCAACGTTAGCGTTATAGGCTACCTAAAGACGGATATAGATTTTATTCAGGGCTGAGCATAAATCCACGATGTGCGGAGATCTGTCCTTACATCGATAACAGATTATCATAAAGCGGTCATGTTCAAGATTATGTTTGGGTAAAAAAGTAATAGCCTATCTAACCGCGATTTTAAAGTTTTTAAAGATGTAGCCTAAATACACACACTCCCTCATACTGGTCTCTGGAAGTTCAACATGGCACCTCATGGCAAAGAACTCTCTGAGGATCTGAAAAAAAGGAATAGTTGCTATACATAAAGAGGGCCTAGGCTATAAAAAAAATTACCAGGACCCTTAAACTGAGCTGCAGTACGGTGGCCAAGACCACTAAATCTTGTCTTTGAGCTAAAAGGCTAAACAGCTATGCTAGGCTTATTTGTTCACTGGGTGCACACATGCAGTTGACCTCAGTGTTGGTAATAAGCCTCTGGGTGAAACAACGAACAAGAAGCGTTTCAATGTATTTTTATTCTGCTGTTGATCACATGTTGAGCCAAATGGGGTACATGTTAATCCGTCCCTCCAAGATTTAGCGGGTCTTTTTAGTGATTGTTGTGGTCTAAAATGCCAGATTTTGCAGTTTCTTCTATTAAAAATTGCGATGAAAGTTGCAATGTTTTGGGACATTATTTTTGCAGTGAAATTGTGGGAATAAGTAAAAATTACACTGGTAGATGTGATTTTTTTTTAACTTTAGAATTATAGTTGAATCATTAAACAGTCCCTCCAGGATTTTGCGGCCCTAACCCTAACCCTGCATATTTAAACCAGCTTACCTTGATTCTTTCTTGCAGCTCACCAGGACGCAACAGCCTGTGTCACAGTGATTTGTCTCGTTTGACATCCTCCATGCGTTTCTGCCTTTCTCCGAGCACGTGTATCTTGTCCAGATGCACAAAAAAGCCTCTTGGAGCCATAGCATATATTTGTTTTTTTGTATTTGCATTTATTTGTGCACGTAGGTGAAACGTGCGGCGGGGGCTGCTTAGTTAAAGGTCACTTCCTGTTGCCAGCAGGTGGCGCTATGACTATGGGTGAATGTGTTCAGGGCGGGACTCTCATCCTACATGTACAGTTTGGTGTAGATGTGAGCATATACACTGAAGTTACAACAACTTCCTGTTTCATGGCGAATTATCGACGCCACAGACACGCCCATTGACGAAAACTTGCAAATAGCACAACTTTTCATCGTCAATGCCTTTAGAAGGCACAGCGGAAATTTGACGTTGATCCGACTAAATCCCTAGGAGGAGTTCGTTAAAGTACGAAGTGTGTAAATCATCCAAAAATAGCAGTAAAATTCAATCAATTGAATTTTACGTCAAATTTTGGATGATTTACACACTTCGTACTTTAACGAACTCCTCCTAGGGATTTTGTCCAACCGACTTCAAATTTGTGCTGTGCCTTCTAAAGGTATTGAAGATGAAAAGTTGTGCTATCTGTGAGTTTTCGTCAATGGGCATGTCCGTGGCGTGGCGTCAAAGATCAACTCTTCGCCATGACACAGGAAGTTGTTGTAACTTCAGTGTACATGCTCACATCTGAACCAAACTTTACGTGCTTGATAACTCTCCCACCCCGCTATGGAGGACCGATCCTGACACAGTCAGAAATAAATACAGAAATAAATAAATGCTCAATAAATAAATAAGCATCCAATTAAATACACAAAAAAATAAAGTAAATAAATAAATGTAGGTAGTAATTAAATTATACAAGGAGACATAAATGTATATATTTTAATTAGTGCCTTTACTTATTCACCTTTGTTATAATTACCTTATTTATTTATTCTCCGTTATAATCTTCAACTTTATTTATTAATTACAAATTTTTTAAATGTATTTATTTATGTGTGTGTTTTAATATTTTTGTCTGTTTTATTCTTCCTTTGTATTTTTTTACCTTATTTATTTTCACCCATGGTATTTATTTCTGCCTGTCCTTTTTACATATCTGTATGCATTTCTGCCTCATTATGCAAATGAGGAGGTGCTGTGTCTCAAGGGGTCATCTTCTCTCCTATTGGTGGACCAGTCAGACAGGAGAGCTCTAGGCCTACTCTGCCTGCAGACATCAACGATCTTGCCCCTCACACAGTCAGATGGCTTCCTTCAGTGCGCTGAGGTGTTTAACAAGTCTGAAGACAATACTACCAGCCATGTCTTCCTTCTCTTTTCACGTAGACGCTCCGACAGGCAGTGCTTTCAGTTTGCTGCATGCATGGACACAGAACTGCGGTATAGGGAGAAGCACACGGTCAGCTGGCTGCAGCTAAATCTGGAGTGCACTCGTATTCAATTCTGTATGGTAAATTCAGTTTTAACGGAGCAGAGCGAGCTGACAGGCAGAGTTAGAGACTTTTTCTGTCCGTTTCTCTCTTTACAAAGACGCATGTTGCAGTCAGAGTCTTCTCTGAAGAGGGCAATGAAGTCTCAGTAGTACACGATGAGAGCACCACATACAACATTATGATTATATTCACAGGAAGTATAAAACCTGTTACATGCGTCTATTAAAAGTAAAGTAACACAAAAATGTCAGGGAAATTACTTTACTTAGATTTCAGGACTGCAGTTGTACATTTGAAATACCTTCCTACCTTTCTGATAGGAAGCCTTCTTGAGGTGGTATAAAACATTTCTTCTTAAATTATGATTTGAGAACTATGACCACATGAATTAAAAAAATTAAACATTTCACTGCCCAAGTCAGCTGTAACACAAGTCTTGTTCATTAGACTACATGCTGTACAGTATTTGTGGACAGATTTTGTCCCAGGATTTATTATGCATTTCTTCTTCTTCGTTGCATGATTTAGAATAATAAGGTGAGAAATGGGTCTGTTCTGAGTTCATCCTGCACTGCAGCAGCTAATAAAGTCCATTTAATCCCAAAAACGCTTTTCTTTTAGGCAGGCTGGAGCAGAAAACAACTCTCCTTTCTCAAGTTGTACAGTAATGTCACATGTGTATGAAGGTGGATCAAACAAGCTAATCTTAAATGTCAAAGTAGAGAGGAGCCTAGTAGGCCTATTTATTTTCATTCATTACACAATATGAATAAGCTATGCAGACAGTTGTAAAGAAAGAACATTTTTTTCTTCTGTCCTCTACTTGTTATAGTTACACAGTATTAGGCGTGTGGGCTGTATTAAAAGTATCCACTGTTCTCCCATGCTCTAACACACAGTAACGATGAAATGTGTGCTGTTCTCTCATTCTTCCTCTGTATGTACACATAAACAACAAAGCAGGGAAATATAAATGGAATTTATTTTATTGTTTGGGGGTTATTTGTTGCTCTCCTTCTCCTCCTTCTTCTTTTCCTCTGAAGAATATGGTTATGTTCTGAATGGTGTTTTTGTTGAAACAGCAGCTGAAAACAGCAGAGCAAGGAGCTGCTCCGTGTGGGAGCATTTACCGTAAATACTCGAATAGGAGTGCACTCCAGATTTAGCTGCGGCTAATTGATGTGGCTCTCAGAAACAACAGCTTACTTTCCTGCAGTTCTGTGTACGTATAAGTCGCTAATTGAAAACTCTGTAGGTGTTTCATGTGGACACTCTGTACTTTAACGAACTCCTCCTAGGGATTTATTCTCTGCCGGCTCACACCCGGACGCGCTACAAGTGCGTCCGGGTGTGACGCACTTGTAGCGCATATTAATTTATGTTAATAGTTGCGATGGTGACATGCGGAATCCTGGAGGGACTGATTAATGTAATGACATATATCTCAGTTCACTTTTGTAACAACAGGACTCAAACCACTGACTGCCTATTAGGATCATTTTGATGTGTGAAAGAACAGTTCAGTCCACATTTCTCACTTCTGTGTGTGTGTGTGTACCTCTACATGCCTGTTTTATCATTCAACAGACAAGTTTGAATCACTCGTAAATCCTAAACTGTGTGTGTGTGTGTGTGTGTGTGTGTGTGTGATTGCAGGAGCTGGAGAATGCAGTGGCGGTGGAGAACTTGGAGCTTCAGGAGCAGCAGTCGGACCGTAAGGAGCTGGAGGAGACCCTGGTTAAATTAGAGAAACACAAAGAGAAGCTGATACAGCAAATAAAGGCAACAAGGCAGTTCTGCTATGAAGAGAGTCAACAGGTAATTATGACTTGCTGCTGTACAGCTACTTATCTCACTGTAAACTGCATGAGTACTTAAATTTAAATCAATTAAATACTGTATGCTTGTATATTAGGTACCCGCGGGGTCTTAAAAGTATTTAAAAATTCTTAACTTTCGAATTCTAAAAATAAGGCCACAAAAGTATTACATTTCATTAGCAAAGTATTAAATTTCATTTACCAAGGTCTTAAATTTGTTCCTGTCCTTTTGTAGGATTAAATAATGCCGTAACGTCATAAATAAACACTTTTTATGTGTGTGACTTTACAATTTACTCTGTTTGGTGTGACAACACTACAGTTAACAGTACTGTTTATGTCGGTGTTCAGCTTTACACTCTGGACTGTGGAGTGTTTGCGGTGCATGAGCTCTGGCATCAAAGGTCTGCACGAATCATTCAGTTCTTGGGAAAGAAACCAAAACGTCTCTGACGTGCTATTAACACACTAACGCTAGCTCGTCGCGTGAGAATGGGAAAGTGTCTGAAATTCAAAAAGCCTGAGACACAGACAAGTGGTGGTTGAGGCCGAGACAGTGGCGCTCACACTATGGCGAACGCTAATGGAACAGCGGAGCTGGAAGACCCGCCTGCAGGTTACTAGTCAGTAAATGTTACAACAGCAACGGAGAGACAGTAGTGTATGAGACAAGGACCGTGTCGGCGTGGCGCTACTGTTGCAGGGTAACGTTATGTGAACATCCAACAAGCTAACGCACATTAAACTTACATCACCCAGATGGGCCAATCACCGGGATGAGGAAAAAACAAACCAGAGCCCATCTCCTTATCCCTGCTGCTTTCAAGCCAATACTATATAATACTATCAAGCAGCCTTTAGATGTAAAAACAGAACAGGATGAATAATCACTTAAGCAATTGGCATATTACATTTCATTACCTTATCCAGCCAAGGTGTAACTAATTGTAACAACTCATACTGCACAATTTGTTTGTATTTTTGATTTCACCCCTTAAAGGTTCAGTGTGTAGGTTCTAGTGACATCTAGTGGTGAGGGTTGTGAATTGCATTGTTTTTTAAAATACAACAGAAACACAAAGAAATATTTCAGCTTGTGGTAAAACGATGCAACTATTTTAATGGGCATTTAGCATGTGAAAGTAAAAATTACTTATTTTTGTGCACAGAAAACAGACAACTTCCGCACCGCTTTGAAAACATCTGTCCCACATTAACGTTATAGCCTTCCATCTGGGAAAATCCACAAAATCCGTTCTTTTTGTTTTTTTATACCTGTCCTGCCCAGCAGCCTGGTATAGAGTATGATGACCTGGATACCATATTGTGCCAGACAGATTTAACTTTAACAAGAGAGTATTAATATACTCCTTTGTCTGTTTTATTATTTATTTAATTATGTATTGATTTGTCACCGGGCCGGACAGGGGGGCAGACACGGGAATGGGGGGGCACAAACAGACAGCACAGAGAAAGGACAAGACCTGTAAGAGTAGGGGAAAGGGGGATGTAAGGTGGGGACAACAGGGAAAAGCAGTGGGAAACACCAATTGCAGAAAGCAACGAAACCTGCAATAGAACAGAGAGGGGGGCTTGGGGAGGAGAAAAACAACAACAACAAACACAAACAAAAACAAACAATAAAAAAAAAATAATAGTAAAAGACAACCAGCCGAACAGCAGCAATAAACAGCTGACATAGTATGACAACTAAGAGAAAAATGAAAACAAGAAACAGTCACACACACTAAATAAGCAACACAGCACAGCCACGAGAGCTGGAATAATAACAATTAATTTAAATAAGTAACTGAAAGAAAAGCATCAGGAATAATTCTACCAGGGACAACCTAAATTTGTTTGTGTCTATGTGTGAGACTGTGTGTGTCTGTGTGCATGTGGGTACATGTGTGTGCGCATAAGCCTGTTAAAGAATGTAGTTGTTAGTGAGAGTGGGATGCCACGACTTACCCCAGCAACAGGCAGGCAAGAACCCCAGTAGCCAATAGGGGTGGGAGAAAGGAAAAAAAATAAATCAATCAAAAATACAAAGACTCCCAGATGCACCGCGATGCAAACACGGAAGACCCCGACCCAAATGCCAGTTGACAACGTAATGCCGACGAAATGCAACAAGCATAACCCGTGGAAGAGCAGCGCCCGGACCGACCGCGGCGCGCACACAACATAGACCAGTGCTCCCACCCCACCGCCACGCAGCGAACAACCAAAACGCCCAAATGCCACGCAATCATCAACACCAATGCACAAGTGACGAGTCCAACGCGCACACTGCGCGAGCACGGCGACACCCAATGCCGCAGCAGCCCCCTGCGAATCCCGCATGCGAGGTCAGGCAGACGAGAGAGAGCAAGCGGAACAACACGACAGCGAAAGCCAGCGGAGAGAAACACCGGCAGCAAGTCCCAGCCCGGCAGCAAACGCGCCGCAAAGGTCACCGTGCACCCGCCAATAAAAGTCCGCCGTCCCCCCAACCGCCGGAAAAAACTAAGGCCGCCGGCGCCAGCCAACATCCCCCATGCCTAGCACGCCCCCCGGCTGCTGTGCAACACCAGCCAAACCAGCAACGAGGCAAAATCAACCAGCTCAGCTGCATGCCACCACCAACCCACCCACTCCAATGCACAAACTAAACACCCAGCAGCCATTCAGAGACCCTGCCCAGGGAAAAGCACAATGCATCAAGATGCATTGACAATCGCCCCACAATCCCACCGCAGCCCTCCAAACCGCAACCGGATCAACCCGCGCAGAGACCCCCATCCCCAGAAGCCAGGGCACCTCGCGACCCCCCAAAGCGCAAAGGACCCCAGACCGCATGTCCCGGGGGAAGCTGTACCCCGCCCCAAGGAAGAACAGCAGAAGGCCGTGCCAGGAAGCTCCCTGCCGCCAGGGAGCGGTAACGCGGGAGAACCAGGCCAACGGTCCCCCAGCCCAGCCAGAGGCATCCCTCCCCAGAGTGCAGGCAGTGCCAGCAGCCCCCGAGGCCGATCTCATCCCGGACGGGGGCCCAGCCCCCCCAGTCAAGCACCCCCACCCCCAAGGAGGAGCACCAAAACCTACCCCGACAACACCGGCCATGCGCCCCAGAGTCCTAAGGGTGTATGTTGTGAGACATGACCAAAGGGGGAAAGGTGAAGGAGGTCATAGGTGAGGCTAGAATGGTCCTCCTCACTGGGACCAGATTCCTGACTGGCCCCATCATTCATTCAGTCCCGTCCCCCACCCCCCTAAGCAGGAGGACGCCAGGTCCCTCCAGCCCAGGGCTTATAGCAAGAGCCCCTCTAGCACTGGCAGCACCCCAGAGTCAGCAACAACCCCGCCCAGCCCCAGGACAGGTCCAGGGGGGCCCAGCCCCCCCAGCATGCAGACCCGCCCCAGACCCAGAGGCTCCAAAGCCCCGAGCCCCAGACCCCCACACACCCCCGAGGCAGGTCAGTGCAGCCCCAACCCAAGTCCAACAATCCCCGTCCTCGCCGGGGCCCTTCCGGCAGCCCCACTGCCACCCACCCACCTCACCGTTCCCACACAATCAGGAGCACTTCGAGCACCACCAGGCCATCGGAGCTGGCACAACCCCCCTCCACCCTCCCCCCACAAGGGAGCAGGTCCGGAAAAGCAAGGACCCCGCCCAAGGACAGAACGGCCCAACGGCCCAGACCCGAAGGTCCGCCCACACCCAGGAGGCAGTGTCACCCAGGCCAGGTCAGGCCAGAAGACCCCCACCCCTGTGCCCTCCCCTCCCTAGCAGCGAAGCACCCCACACACACACACCCACTGTCCCCACAGAAAAGAGACAGCAATCACCCCGCGACAGCAGCAACAGCCCCTCAGCCCTAGGGAGTCAGCAGATGCACCCAGCCCCTAGGACTCAACACGACCACAATCCAGAGGGCCGCGACGCGACCGCAAAGCAACCATCGACACACCCCAAAACACAATCCCTACCCACACAACCACCAAGCATCCAGTCCGGGCACTAACATCCAGAGGAGACACCCCCCCCAACCAGCTCAAAAAGGACCAGACCGCACCCCCAACCCACCCCGTCAACCCCTTCTTCCCGGTCCCCCACCCCTCCAACAACCAGTCGCCAGACCCCCTCAGAGAACCGAAATACAATTACATGCACAGCATGCACACAGGACATAGCCGCACACTAGCCCAGTCCAGGCCCGCACCTGATGCCCCCAACCCCCGACAAGCATGCAAGCCAATCACGACCTACAGGTGAGCCAACCAAAACTACCCCGCTACCAATTTAACTAGCAGCACACAACAGCCAAGTAATGCGCTGCACAGGAGAGATGCTAGCCGGCGCAAACCGCCCCCATATCCCCCGCAGCCAGGGAGATCACAGACCGCCACCCACGGATACACCGTGACCCACACCGCACGTTCACCACCGGACCGAAACCCACCACAAGCATCCCCCCCCTCCAACCCCCACCGCCATGGGCTTCTGTAAATAGCATCATAGAGTACGGTCTAGACCTGCTCTCTTATGAAAAGCGCTGTGAGATAACTGTTGTTGTGATTTGGCGCTATATAAATAAAATTGAATTGAATTGAATTGAACTTCTCTTCTTACTTCTAATAAACCAGAAGACTACTCGGAGACTGTATATTACTATTAATATTATTATTATTCCCTCTTCTTCTTCTTTGTATGTATTCAATGTAGTGACGGGCGTCTACACTACCGGAATTACACAAGCAGAAGAAGAGCACCGTGATGACAAAACGCGCTCTGTAGCGCTGTTTGTTCGTTGACGGCTACGGTAGAAACATGACGGATTGATTTTGCTGTGCAGTCTAAAACCCAATGACGATTAAAGGAGACCTATTATGCTTTTCCACATTTTATGACTTATCTACAATGTTACAATGTTGGATGTTCATGTTAAACATGGTAAAGCTTAAAAAAATGAGGTTAAAGTATTTAAAAGAAATCCCTGTGATCAAAAACCTCACATT